GATGAAGAAGCTGAAGCTCCAATCCTTTGGACACCTGATGTGAAGAGCCAACTCACTGGAAAAGATCCCGATGCTGGAAAGATTGAGGGCAGGAAGAGAAGGGGCTGACAGAGGGTGAGATGGTTGGATGGCACCACTGACTTAATGAACACGAGTTTAAGCAAACTCTGGGAGATAGTGAAGGACAGGGAAGCCGGGTGCACTGCAGTCCATGGGGCCACAAAGACTTGGACATGATTTAGCAACTGAAGAACAACAATAGGAGATTTTTTTCCACTTGAAAATGTGAGGATCACTGAATGGGAAGATGAGAAGCAGACCCCTGAGGTGGAGTGATTTAAGTGCTAGAAGAAAGTAGGATGGTAATTTCTGGGACAGAGTGCTAAGGAAACCTCAGGGAGACCTGAGACCCTGGGAGTGGATTGGCATGGGTGCAATCAGGGAAGACTTCCTGGAGGAGATGCTGCCCACAGTGAGTTTTGAAGGATGCAGGAAGAGGGGAAAACATGTGCAGAGGCAAAGGACTTTCCATGAATGGTCATGTTTCCTTAAAGGTGTCTACACATAAGGTTCACAGTCCAGGTTAAAGGTGAATAGGCAAATCTATCCATGACCCCGAGAGAGTCCTACTGCACACCCCTCTCTTTTCACAAGAACTTGGACTGATGTTGGTTATAAGGCTGGATGTGTTAGCTGGGAAACCAGTTCTGGTTAATATTAGATTAATGCACATTACACTATCTTAGGGTGAGAGTGGAATCTTCTCAGATTTTACAAGGTTCAGGCAAGAATGAATGGGTTGATTTATCAAGCCCTCATTATGGGCAGGCCTATACCTTCACTGTTGCTGTGTGTAAGTCACTTCAGTCGTGTCTGACTCTTTGTAATACCATGGCCTGTAGCCCGCCAGGCTCCTCTGTCTCTGGGATTCTCCAGGCAAGAATGCTGAAGTGGGTTGCCATGCCCTCCTCCAGGGGATCTTTCTGAGCCAAGGATTGAACCTGTGTCTCTTACATCTCCTCCATTGGCAGGCAGATTCTTTACCACTAGCGCCACCTGGGAAGCCCTCAGAGTTGCTAGCTATACATGGAAGTAGGCATTATTTCAGCAACTCAGAGAGATGGAGTGATTTGCCCAAGGTCACACAGCGAGTGAGCGGCAGAGGTGGGACTTGGGTCTAAAGGCTCCCCCGGCACACAGGGCAGTGATGAGTCCTACGCTTGTATCTTGGGCTTGAATCTCGGATCCCATACCTCCCAGGGATCTGGGCCAAGCTCCTTAGGCTCTCTGCACCTCAATTTCCTCCTCTTTAAAGAGGCAAGGCTGATAGAATCTTCTTGGCAGGGCTGTTGTGAGCACGACTGAGCAGTCTCTGTACACAGTGGGCGCCCAGTAGGTGGTGTGGGAACGCTGCTGTGACTGACAGCAGCTAAGTCATCTCCCAAGCCTGGGCTCCCTGCATATTACACACAGGGACTCAGACTGGACAGGCTGAGGCTGACCACCCAGCTCTGAAATTCTGGAATGGGTTTTGAATCTCAGTTTCTGGCAGTCTGGCTGATATCCTGGGATAACTTGCCTGGAGGCAGTGGATTATCCCTGTGACCTTCCTGAGTACCAAGTTTGCTCAGCTTGGCCACAGTAGGCAGAGGGTTAGTGGCCTTCCTGTGTCCACTTCAGGAGGGTGGGCTGCCTTGTGGGGCTCTGGGGAAAACTCTGGATGGAAAAGCAACGAGCTGTTTTGAAGAGGATGCTGGTCCATCTGCCCCAGCGGCAGATGGAAGAGATAGATAAATCTCTGTAAGTGGCACATTTTCTGCAAGTACTCAGCTATAAAGCCCCTTTGAAGGGACTTCTAAAAGGCCTGTGTTCAGGGGCCGGCACCACCGTGGCAGGGTGCAGGGGCCTTTGGAGGTTGCCAGGGCATGGCCAGGGTTGGGGGGGCAGCGCATTGCAGGCAGAGGTCTTCCAGAGTTGGGAGGGTCTATGAAAATAAGCCTGACAGAGGCAGGTGTGTGTGTGTGTGTGTGTGTGTGTGTGTGTACAATATATGATGGCAACCCGTTATTTGAAGGGTCCATTCTGGAAGCTGCACTAAACAGTGGGAAGGAAAACCAGGAGACAAAGGCTGGGAGGAACAATGCCAGTGCGGATGGGCAAGATTCCAAGCCCAAGACAGATGCCAGCCCCCTGGGAGAACCCGCACCTCTGGGCCTGAGCGCGGGGGTGCTGTGGGCCCCGAGCAGGCCTGGATGGCCATCCAGGTCCTCTATGCGGTGGGAGAAACAGAGGCAGTCTCCTGCTTCTCTCTTGTTGGTGTACCCAGGTGCAGAGTCAGGGTACTAATGCACACAATGCCATTCTAATCCATTGTGAAAGTCAAAGGCCTTCTCAATTTGTCTCAGATTATCCTGGCAGTGTGGCCCCAATCATTATTCTCATTCAGTCAATCCAGAGTAGTAGTGGTTTGGTGCTGGACCCTCCGGGGACTGGAGACACATAGGTCCTAGCGAAAGAACATTGAAAAGATGAAAGAGGGTGAAGTCACAGAGCAGCCGCTGTGGGCCAAAGAGAATTTTAGGTACCATGGGGGCACCGAGCAACACAGAAGATGGGGTTCTCTCCAGCCGGAGAACAAGAACCACACAGACGCACAAAGACCCAGCCACGGTCATGTAATGTGATCAACAAGAAGAAGAACAAGCATTAATATTTGCATGTATGTATCCGTACGTCTATAGGACTTGACATGTGCAAGACACTGCTTTAGGTGCTTTGTGTTTTGTCAAGTCATGTGTGAAATCATTTAACCCCTGGGAGAACTGAGGCAGGTGAAATTACTAACCTCCTTTTGCTAACAAGGAAACAGGCACAAGGAAATCAAATAATAGACGTGCGTGCTTGCTAAGTCACTTCAGTTGTGTCCAACTCTGTGCAACCCTATGGACTGTAGCCTGCCAGGCTCCTCTGTCCATGGGATTCTCCAGGTAGGAATACTAGAGTGGGTTGCTATGCCCTCCTTCAAGGGATCCTCCCAACCCAGGGATTGAACCCACATCTTATATCTCCTGCATTGGCAGGCAGGTTCTTTATGACTGGCATCACCTGGGAAGCCCCCAAAAATAGGCATTCAGTCCCAAAGTGAGTGCACATACTGTGGGAAAGATCTGATGAGCCCTATTTTGCAGCTGAAGACAAAGAAGCTCAGAGAGGCCAAGGGAACCAGGCTTACTCAGACACACTGAAAGTCCTTGTTTCACTGGCAGAGCATAGATTATGAACAGGCTTGGTGTTTGACGTGTGGACTCCTGGCTGCATTCATGTTGTCTGCAGGCTGTTGCCCGAACCCAGGCCTTTTGACCTAAGCACACTTGTTTATTTGCTGGCCCTCAGTGCCTGGGGGATTTCAGATTCCCCGGCCCCCTGGATGCCCTGGGGTGGCACCCTAGGGGCACGTGCAGCCTGGAGGAGCAGGTTTTCCTGGGTATTAATGCTTTCTCACAAGTGCTCTTAGGCCAAGGATGGAGCTGGACCTCAGAGAGACCTGGGGTCTGCACTCAGCCCAGCACCGGTCCCTGACGTACCTCAACCCTCTGACATCCTTTGTTTAAATGGTGTTTTGTTGAAAAGCTTACTGGGACTACAAGGATGCTGACCTGGCTGAGAACAGAGACACTGAGCAGCCTGGTGGCCAGACTAGTTCGGACACTGTGGGTTCCTTGGAGCACATTTGAACCCTTGCAAGGCAAGATGCTTTTTGAGACTCCATGTGATCTGTTGTGAGACTCACATCTGAACATGTGATCTGTTGCCCATCAGATGGGTTCCTTGCTCTGTAGAGAAACTTGAACACGTGTCAGGTCCACCTCTTTGGGGTCAAGGCCAATAGTGACCTCTGATCTGTCTCAGGTAACAGTGAAAGGAAAAAGGCTTCTGTGTCCCTCTGGCCTTTGTCCCGTGAAGCAAGTGCAGTTGGTTTAAACACGTTGGTTACAGGTGCGCAGACCTGTCTTTTAACCTCATCTCTTCTGTTCCTAGCTGGGTGACCTTGGATGAATCATTCTACTCATCCCAGCCTGTTTCTTCTCCCTCTTAGGGGGTGCCAGTTTAGGTAAAATAATGCCCGCAGCAGAGCTCTTAGCCCAGGTTCTGGCCCCCTGTGTGCACACAGCACTGTGCTGGCTTATAGCACCATTCTGAGAGAGGAGTTTGGGACCGGCTCTGGCAGGCGTGCTGCATCAAGGCTGGACTGACTTTACTTCTGGAGAAATTGGGAGGTAAGCCAAGGTGTTCTGGTCCTTTCAGCTGTCCCTCTTCTCTCTGCTCCCCTTTGATGCACAAACAGAGCTGTTAACAGCATGAATCTCCTCTGCCCCACACTCATCTTCTCAAGGTCAGACACGCTTTGGACTTTCCAAGGTGAACATCAGCAAGTCAGTTACCCTGAGCTCTTCTCCCAGGCATGAGCCTGATCCACTAGAGCCTCATCCACTAGAACTTTGATATACTCTCCTGCCTTAACTGGTATACTTGGAGGCAAACCAACCCCTTCACCTCTCTGTCCCCAGCACCCACCCCTGGCCCAGGGCATTTAAAATAGTCAATCCTAGTGAATATAGTATAGCATTTGGATATAGTAATCTTACTTATTTCTCATTCAAAGGAGTGATTCTGAAGGTAAAAATGTCTGGCCTGCTCAGCTCGAGGGGTATAGAGAATATTCCTTTTTGCAAAGACCTCAACGCCCCTTAAATTATGTGCTTAAATGACAGGCCTTTGCCATGAGACCAGAGGAGGGGTTTTGCTGTTTTGCTTCAAAGAGGAGTTTTTGATCTCAGAAAATGTCATTTGAGGTTGTGAGTTAGGGCAGGAGGGAGGAAAGGGGCTTCTTATATTCCAGACCAGGGCCTTCTGTGAGAGGCTGGAGAGGAATTCTAAAACAAGCCATTCTCAAAGCCAGGGAAGGAGTTCTTTGTCTCCGTGGTAGCCAGAGAAGATGTAGGATGGATGCCAGGAAGAAATATAAATTTCCCAGGGGAGAACACAGACCAGCTGAAGGAAATCAGCATTTGTCCAGAAAAGCATGATGGCAGTACCAAAGGCCAGCACAGTTGCCACCGTTCAGGTTCTTTGGAGCCCATTACCTGACCCCAAGGTATATTGCTATATTGCTTATGTTATCCAAGTATTGAAAATGGACAGTGGGTATCTTCCTAGGTGACTGCAGGTGTTATGTACATCTACAAAGTGACTCCCAAGGCAGAGTCAGGGGGCTTTGATGACCCTCCACACGTCAGAGGGTGTTTGGGGGTTTCGGTGGGGAAGGCTGAAGGTAAATGCTATTCTGGGTGGCCCAGGCTCCTGTCTGTGCTCTGCACGCCAGAGTGTTAGGTGTGAATTCTGTACACTTGTCCAGTTGAGGTGATGTCAAAGCCTTACCCAAAAGGAGGGGGACAAGAATCAGTGGCTCAGGGGAGGCAAGGCCCTTGTGCCAAGGAAGCCTCCCACATCTGTATCCATCCGTAGTGCCCAGTAGCAGAGTGGCCAGCAAGACCCTTGACCTAGGGAGGCCCGGGAGCTGTAGGAATGATTTAGGGAAGAACAGGATGCCAGAGGCGACGGGAACGTGCATTACATAGCATGTAGTCTCACCCCCTCATCCTGCAGGCCAAGGAACTGAGATCTGAACTGCTGGCAGTTTGAATCTCAGTAGTGCTATTATATTAAACATCTCTGATTCCTTAAAATAGTATCAGCATCTCTAAATGCCATCGTTTGGGAATGTGAAACTAGAATCCAGGCAGTAAAAAAGGCCACTTAGGTGAAACAAACAAATACAACTAACACCATATATAAAATGAAATTAAAAGTTGGGCAAAGTGTTCACAACTTATCGTAACCAGGAAAGAGTGACTCTCCTTATGTATAAAGGAGAGTTTATAAATTATAAATTAATAAGAAAAGAACCACCAATCCAACAGAAAATTTGACAAAGGATGTATGTACATCATCCACAGATGAGGAAATTCAAATGGTTCTTAAGCATTTGCAGAGTTGTTCAACTTCACTCATAATAGAAGTAGATACACACAAAATATGAGATAATACTGTTCACCTGATTGGCGAAGAGCAAAAAGTTCTATATCACTTCCCCAGGCTGAGGGGAAACAGGCACTTTTTTTTTTTTTTTTTTTAGTATTTTCTGATGTACATGATTTTTAAAGTCTTTATTGAGTTTATTGCAATATCTCTTCTTTTTTTGTGGTGTTTTTGGGCCCCAAAGCATGTGGAATCTTAGCTCCCTGACCAGGGATAGAGCCTGCACCCACTGCATTGGAAGGCTACCGGGGGAGCCTCCAGGCACTTTTATATAATGTTGATGGAAGTATAAATTGATAAAATCTCTACAGAGAATAATTTGGTAGCAACTATCAAAATGAAAAAATACACATTCCCGTTTAGGTCCAGTAATTTTCCCTATAAATAGGTTAGCGTACTGCAAGGTGACCATATACAAAGATTTTCATTAAAGCATTGGGAACAACAAATGAGTCAAGTAATTAAGAAATTGCTTAGAGGACTTATTAGATAAATTATGGTATATCCAGGGCTTCCCTGGTGGTTCAGATGGTAATGAACCCACTTGCAATGCAGGAGATGTGAATTCAACCCCTGGGTTGGGAAGATCCCCTGTAAAAGTGAAAGTGAAGTCGCTTAGTTGTGTCTGACTCTTTGTGACCCCATGGACTGTAGCCTACCAGGCTCCTCCGTCCATGGGATTCTTCAGGCAAGAATACTGGAGTGGGTTGCCATTTCCTTCTCCCGGGGATCTTTCTGACCCAGGATCGAACCTTGGTCTCCCACATTGCAGGCAGATGCTTTAACCTCTGAGCCACCAGGGAAGCTAAGTCAGACCCAACTGAGGGACTAGGCATGTACACACACATGGTATATCCATATAATAAGGTATTACAGAACCTCTAAAAAGAATTGGACAGCTTTATGTATGGATATGGATTTATATTTCATATGTATTAAGTGAAAAGAATTATTACACAACAAATGCTACCATTTCTATAAACAATAAACATATATACATATATATGTGTTTATGTACCTCTATAGGCATATATATATATATATATATATGAAATTGCTTATACATGTACAGATGATCTTTGGAAGGATATACTCACAAAATAGTAACAGTGGTTGCCTCTGGGAAGGAGAACTGAGACACAGAAGTGGGGGGAGTTTTTACTGTATGCTGTCTTTTGTGTCATTTGCATATATTCCTGGTTTAAAGAATGACAGGCTTTTAATCCTGCTCTCTGAGGCCCAGAGAGGAGGGTCTCTGGGCCACTCTCACCCCCTACTGACAGTTTCACTCTGGGTGACAGTGGTCTTGATGAGCACAGGCCTGGCAGTGAGGCTGGGTCTGGGACAGGCTCAGCTACTGGCCAGAGAAGAAGAGTGCAGGGGGGTGGTGCGGGACTGGTTCAAAGGTCTGGGAACCCCCAAATCCACAGGAATCAAAACAGAGCATTCGAACTGCCTGTGATGTTGAAAACATTTGGCTGGCTGGGTCAGATCACAGGCCTATTTCCAAGTGTCTGGCTTCTTCTGTTCCTCACCCCCAGAGGGGCTTCTGTGAGGACAGGGCTGGTCACATAGTCTTTTGAAGAGTCTGTGTGACCTGTCTGAGCAGTGCTGAGTGCACGCCTGTGGGCACTTTCAAGAGTGGTAATGAATGGAGACCGCTGGCTGTTGGGGTCAGTGCGTGTTACTGACATGACTTTTTATGCAGGTGTTGTCTACACTGGGAACAGGTGATAGAGTGGGAAGATGGTGGCATGTGAATTCTTGCCGACCTGGGTTTGAGTGTGGGCTCTAGGCATATGAGGAACAGAATGTTAAACGTGGACAAGAAAGCTGTTACACTGATTAGCCTCATCAGGTCACTGATGAGCCATATGGTGGCCACATCTAAGCTTATAAATGCCTTAAAGTTACAGAATCAAAACACGAAGGGTGACCAGTCACAAACAGCCAACTGGTGTGCTGCCGTCCATGAGGTCACAAAGAGTTAGACACGGCTGAGCGACTGAACTGAACGGAACTGGGGCTTTACGCTTTAGCCAATCAAATAATTTCCTTTCTTTGCCTCTGTACTTTCTCTCTTTAAAATCTTTCCTGGCACTGAGGAAGGTGGTAGACAGGCCTCCACCCAGGGTAAAGCAATTGGAGATTCATTCCCTCTGGACTGAGACTCTGAGATGAGAATAACAGGACAGTTAGGGAGCAGGCTGGGCCCTGCCCAGTCCACATATTTCTTACTCTCGAAGTCAGGAAACCTCCTTGACAACACATTCGCAGAAAGCCTCCTTGGAGGTTAAAGGGAAGTGATGCCAAGGGATGTTCTACCCACATGCCTTTTTGGTAGAATCCACCTTGCCTGAGCACACTTGGGAGGCTCCTGAGATACACCAAATATAGACTGTGAACCAGGCAAATTATAATGATTGGCCAAAGGAAACACAGAAGTGCCCATAAAAGTAGTCCAAACCACCGTGAGGGTTTGACTCAGTGACTCTCCTGAGTCCACCCATGTGTCTGTCCACACCTGCTGTAGTCTTTTTCTCCTAAAAAACACTTTACTTGCTTCTTTACTTTCAGTCTTCATAGGAATTCTTTTCTGCAAAGCTGAGGGCCAGGGCCCCTGCCACTCACCACTGGTCTAGTGGCTAGGATTTGATGCTCTCATTGCTGTGATCTGGCCTCAGTCTATGGCTGGGGAACCCAAGCCCTGCTTCAAGCTACTGCAGGCCACAGCTCCCCGAGATCAGCACCTGTGGAAGGAGGCTCCTAGTTATTTCTGGCTTGGCATTGCCCAATGCCAATCAGTTTTTGCTCAAATAAACTCTTACACATTTTAATATGCCTCAGTTTATCTGCCAACAATAGATAGGAGAAAGATCCCTAACTTTTCTAAGCCTTAGTGTCTGATCAGCTAAAGGGAGAACTGCCTCACATGTTGTCACTAGGCCTGATGTGAGTGGGGGTGTGGTGTGTCACAGCAGCCCCTTCCAGATGCCCGTGTTGCCTGATGTCACCGAGGTAACATTGTTGGACTATGGCAGATGGTTACGTCAATTAATGGGCTCTAGGCAGGTGGCCTAGGTTTGAACCCTGGCTGTGCATCCTGTAGGCTGTGGGACTTCTGGTAAATTGCATGACCTCTCTGTGTTATATAATCTGTAAAACTGAGATTAAAAGTAGTACATAGCTCATCTAGGGTTGTCCTCAGGATACAAATGAAATACATGTTCTACTGTAAGGCATTTAAGATTGAGCCTGACCTGGAGTAAACAATCAAGAATATTTGCTTCCATTCTTATCATTCTTATTATTTTGAAACAACTTGATAACATCAAGTCAGTCAATGACTGATCATAAAAAATTGGTTACCAAGTTGAACTTTTTTTTCTGAACACACAGTGGAAGGTGCTGAATTGGCATCTCCAGTGTGGGCAGCTTTTATTTTACAGAGACACAAATCAGGCAAATGGGCAAAATGCACCCAATTAGACACACGATTGTTTCCCAGGAAACTGCATCCCATCTGGCAGCGCCCACATGGGACCAGGTCAAGGAGGAGTCATAAAGGGCTTGTTTCAAAGAAATAAGAAAAATCCCATGCAGTTCGGTGAGGAGCACGCAGCCTTTGGAGTGGTCTTTGAAGAAAGTGAAAATGAAATTCAGAAGACCTCAATGCGAGGGAGAAGCAGTGTCTATATCACGGGGGTGGGGGATGGGGGAACTATAGATTTTTTTGGAGATTCTGAGTACAAAGGAAAGGGGAGGCTGTGTTTGATAAGCTGCTGCCGCACTCTGGGCTCTCTTTCCAGGAAAGAAACATTATGGAAATTAAAAAAAGAAAAAAGATGGAGCCAAAAAACCTCTAGACAGATCAACTCCAAGAGTGCAGACGATTATAGGGCTTCGAGAAGCTGGCTCTGAGGACGTCTAGCGAAGACAGATAATTCCAAAGAGGTGCCAAGGACTCTGAGGAACCATTTATTGAAGTAATGTCAGAATGGAGATTTATAAGATGAATCTAGTAACAACAATAACTCGCTGGGCCCCTCCTCCCAA